CTCCCAGAGCTTAGAATTGAACATGTAAAAGGCTTAAGCCCAGTGTATTAAGAAGTTAAGGTAAAACTGATGTCACCTTGCAGAAATGAACCCCCATTCACAGTGGCACATTTACATTGATTCAGGTTAACTAAAATTGTAGTATCTAAAATAAATACATGAAAAAAATTCTTTTCAAATATGTAACATCTGTACTGCATACACAACAGTATCATTTAGCCCACACTTGCACAGCTGTTTCTAATTTCTGCACTCGTATAAAACAGACAAGACATTCTCAAGATCTCAAAGACAATAAAATGATGATGTTAGTTATAAATATTCACTTGAAACCAACTTTATTATATCTGTTTTCAACTAACCAATTTGTTAATATAGCCATTGAAAAAAAAAAACAAACTAAGAACAACAGACTGATGAGCTGTTTAATCTGCTGTAAACTGATCTGGTAATGAAACGGGTATTTGCCACATGAAAATACAGTCATTTTGTATGTAATGTTCTTTTACCTGCTGCCACTTTTCACTTTCAGCCTGGATACATGGGGTATCATAAATGGCTCTGTAGTGCTTACAGATGGAGAGGTAGGAGCCTTCATGTTGATCCAGCTGGATCATTAAGTTGTAGTATTTCAACTTTAGTTTCTGAAACAGTATCAAACAATAAAATTAATACAGCTCCATGAAACATGTAAATTAAATCCAACTGGACACCAGAAAACAGAGGGATGCAAATACACTTGGACCTGAAGAGAGGCCTGTCAGATTGAAATTGGGATAGGAGGACGAATCCTCCAATTACTTACTTCTGTGTTTTCTTCTTGAAAAAATTTTGTATTAATTTTTTTGCTGATAATCTGAGTCCGAATATAGTCTTTTACAGCTAGACAGAGTCTCATCTGCTCCAAGATAAATTCTACACGTTCTTTCTTTTCCATTGAACCATAGGTTTCCACCTAAAATGAAAATGTAACTATTTAACACTGTCAAAGTCAAATCAAGTGAAGTCTTAACTGTGCAAGAAGAGTGGGAAGTTGTCAGGGTAGGGAAAACAAAACAAAACAACAGAAAAAACAGCTATTCCAGAGCAAGTGAAAATGGAGAAAAGGTTATTCAATTTGAAATTATAGCCCCCACTTGCACCGGAAGAATCCACTAACACTAAACTCAATGCACTACCTAGAGAATTGAAATCTGTTTTCCAAATGGGAAATACTCGATGTAATCTAACCACGATACTAACAAAAGCAGTTAAAAATGAATTATGCTTTCACTAATAACAGTTAATCTCATTCCAGGTATTTCTGCAGACCTACCTAATTGAGCTTCTAAACAATAATCTAAGAGCAGTCAGAATTAATTTTTATTGCTGACGCAATTGTGAGTTCCATGGTGTGTTACCTGCAATTCTTGCAGAATAGAGGCAGCCTCTTTCACTTCACCGTTCTGTTCTTTTATTGTTGCAAGTGTCTTTGTCAGGCGAGCACGTTCAATTTCCACATATATCTGAAATCAGAAGTAGTACTTTAAACATTGGAATTTTCTAAAGAAAAGTGCAAGCTCGTGGAGACCACAACTCCACTTAGACATACATTTGATGTTTTCATACAACCCATTAATTCCTTGTGTATGCATATACTATACAGATACTATCCACAACATACACAGATAAAATATGATGGATAGTTGACACACTGAAAATATTTGGATCAAATTAATCTAAACAATAATGTCTAAATTCGTCTACCAGTCTTTAAGCAAACATACAAGGATGTGCACTGCGAATAAAGTATTCGATATTTTGTCTGCTAAAATATATTGAAACAGATATGAAGTTAACAATTTAATGGTTCGTGTGTACTAAGTACTACCGTTTGCATTATTTCACTCACTCCTAACCATCCACAAATCAACACCACTTGATTAGTAACAATTTAGACTAACTTTGAACAGGGAAAATCCATAACATTAACACAAATTTGCCTTAATCCAGAATTGTTTATTTTCTTACAGTAAAAGGAATATGATGTAAATAGTTAATTTGGTATAATGCTTTCATATCACCTTCTGGTTACTGAACAGTATGTGACACCTTGCTGAGCCCAGGAGAAAGTAAACTAAACCTGCCCCATTTCTCTAACAAATTCAAATACATAACATTTTAAAAAGTGAAAAACAAATGGCATTTTAGAACTCTGAAATGTATTAATACTTATATTAATAATACATCTAAATATCTACATCATGGAAATATGACCAGCGTTTCATCAAATTATTTAAATACGAAATCTGGAAAATATTTGCAGTCTTTTGAAAAGAACTACACTACTTGACTTCTCAGGTTAATTTAAAAACATACTTTTGCTCTTTTTTGAACAAGATTAAAAAATAATGTTAAACTATTCTTTTGAAGAAGGTGAACACTTTTATTCTACCTTTTAGACATTCAGTCTTAAAACAAAATCTTACTTTTCCTTCTGTAACCATACGCAACGTGTCAATTAAGCGCAGTTTGACTGGTAAGTCTGTGATGTCTTCAACATAAGTGCAGCACTGCTGGACCATTTTAGCAACTGCCTAGTACAAGAACAGAAAAGAAAAACATACTTTGTTTTTAGATTTCTCAAACGCATTCAAACTGTAACACTCAGAGATAAGTACTAAATAGTAGCATATCAAACTAAGGAGACATCTCAACAAAAAGCAGGCAAGATACATCTAATACTTTGATCCATAAAAATGTGTAAAGTGATGCTAGCGACTGATGCTAGAGGTCAAATATGATGCTGTTCTGTCATGTCTTCTCAGTTTTTCGAATGATACTCAAAATAATTCATCCCATGCGGTTCTCTCCTGAAAAGCAGTACTCCTCTTCTGGCAAATCCACACAACTCTCACATGGACTGACAAAACTTATCTGTTTGTCCTAAACAAAACATGGCTAAAGGGAAGGTACATCTTCTCTGAAGTGTGTGCACTAGCCTTTCTCTTTAGGACACCTGTAGATTTCTGAGGAAGGGAAGGAAGAGGGGTACTTATTTCTGACTGATGCTTCTCCTCTGCATATTCCCAAGTAGGCACTAATAAGCTAGCATCCTTCAGTGGCAAGCACAGGTATTGGAATATGTTCTTCTGGTACCAATGCTGACAAAACTGTTACAATTATTATTAAAATACCTACTTCTAAAAAAAAAAACAAACAACCAACAGAATGAAACTTCTACAAACTTCTTCCTCACGAAGAAAATTCAGCTGAAATAATCCAAGTCTTCAGCCATGGTTTGTGCAAGTAAGAGAACTAAACTGCACTCTACTTTTATACAAACTCCTAATGTTTCTGCACATTAAAAGCAGGTAACCTTTTTCTTCCTAAAGCAATGCCATTAAAATTACCTGTTGCTAACTTCTAATTAAGTCAAACTAAACACACAGTGCAATAAACTTTGTACCTTATAAATGCAAGTGCTTTCAGCTATCCTGACAGCCAATTTCTCAGACAGAACTGAATTCCAGAGCATGACAGTTTCAAAAGCAAGCCTGTAAAGCATATACCTTATTTGATCACAATAAATTGCAATAACTCTGTTTAATGTACACCTCATGTCAACACAAAAAATTAAGAATACATCTACAATACAGACTGTAGAAGAGCGTAACGATGAACTACCATCTAAAAGCACTAGAATGCACTGAAAGCAGAAAAGTCATAGCTGTGTTGCTCAGAATGGCAAGCTGGACCACACTGAGCTCAAGCACAAGGTGAAGACACACTAATTCCAGACATCAGTTTCATTATTGGCTTTCATTATGTCTACCAAAAAACGTCAACAGAAGCTAATTCTGGCAGGTGCTACAAAGTCAGGAAAGTCCCTACTCACAAGGAAGAATCAGATACATAATACAGCTCCAAACAGAATTTTATTTTTTGTTTCAAAGGACTAAATTCACCTGTTTTAACTGACTTCTTCTCTTTGATAGAAGAATAATATTTTCATTAAGAGCATCCCAGTCTTTAGCTTCATAACACATTTTCACTATAGCAACTAAGATGCGGGATGTGGAGACCATATCAGACGCCTGTAATAAACAGACAAACAGCATATTAATGATGGGATAAACAACCTGCAGACCTCTATTGCTTGCACTTCTATTATACAAAGGGAAAAAAACCTTTTATCTAGCCTCATTGATCTTTTTAAAGAAAAGAACAGCAAAAGAGAAAGACATACTCCAATTGCCTTCGTGACTTTAATGCAGTGGAACAAGGGGGGGGTTGTAGGACAACCCAGCATAAATGTCACACACTATATGCTACTCACCGTTCGTGTTTGTTTTTCCAAGGAGAGAAGGTTTTCAATTACTTCTTGCAATCTTCCTTCCTAATGCAACAGGCAAAGAATTACCACCATGAGTGAAGAATAAAACTTAGTTTAAATTGAGAGTAGCTCTAATTCTTATGTGAGAAAAAAACCTTAGACTAGCCTGTACACTCATTTTAAAGTATTTTATTCCTTAAAAAAAGAAACATACGTAGCACTAACTTTAAATATATGGTTCCACACACAGATTAAACTGGAAAGCTACTAGTTCTATTTTTGCCCAATATATGCTATAAGTTGTCTGTCTTGAGCGAGAAACATAGCAAGTTTCAGACAGGTTTGGTTAGCTCACATTCACTGAGCTAGATGGAAGACTGATTTCTTTCCTAACCAAAACAAAGCTTTAAGTGAGAACAAATATTCATTCACCATATCTTAATTACAGCATATTATAGAAAGCATAAACTACGTGCTTTACAGTCTAAGCATGGAATTATAATAGTCCTGCTGTTGAGGTTTTGAGAAATATATCTGCCTTTGTTTGGAGGAGTTAAAGATATCACAATGTGCTTTTAGTCCTAATTCCTAGCAAATATCTTAGAAAAAAAATTTAATATGGGAGAATTTGTAACAGTCCATGGCAACTGTGGGGCTGCAAAAAAAAAAAAAAAGTTAGAAACTAGAAAACTAGTAACAAAAAAAAAAATCGTTGCTAAAATGTACCTACCCTACTGAAATCTTTTAAACTATATACAATTGTTTGTCAAGGACGTGCTCTTACTGCCACAAATTTACATGTTATGAGGCAATGAAACATGGTCATGGTGTCCATATCTACACAGAGCTGTGCCTGTGGGATAAAACACCTGTGCCTACTCTCCATACGATACAGTCTTAAGATAGTGTAAGATGTAATTTACTTATCTTAAGGCCTTCAGAATCCTACAACAAGCTATATAGTACAATATGTCTATCACAACGGAACACGTGGATCAAGTGGAGCATTTGCAGCATGTAAAGAATCAGATGCCATGCTACTGGGACAGAACGTAACAGCAAATCCAATCTGTCTGTTCTGAGATCCGAGATGCGTAAAAATCTCTATGCTACCGAACAAGTCCATAATAGAAACCTTAAGACACACCATATGCATGATTACCTCTATGATCCCATAAACTAGACAATCTGTGGTCACCTATGGCTGGGTGCATACGTGTTTGCTCAGCAGATGCCAGGCACCCTATCAGCCTGCCATGGCTTTGACCCTCCATTCCAGTCTTTTGGGGCACGTACCTAAACGAGTTAGAAGGATGCAAAGCGCTGCCTGTCTAACCTGACACATGAAGGCAGCTTTGGCACACAGCAGTCCTAGGATGAACAAGCACCTACGTGTTTGCCCAGCCGCCCTGCCCGCAGAAAGCGGCAGCAGTAAAAAGCCACGTCCCTTCAGGTGGACTCGGGCCGTCCTATGCCCTCACCCGCGAGGCTGCACCCTGGCATCTCCTCTCGCCCCCCGCACCTCCCTCCTGCCCGCCCCACCACACGCTGCCAACGAAACGGTTGAGCAGTCCCTTCTTCTTCCCTTCCCCAACACGGCACGGGAGGGCCCGAGCCCCGGACCCCTCAGCATCCCATCGGGTGACAAGAGGCAGCTGCAAGTCGAGCCGCACGTCCCCCCGCCACCGGGCCGCCTCC